AGAAAGTATGTCGCGTACCACACGATACCCTGGTGTAGAGAAACTTCATTCGCCATACAGAAAGTAGCAATATCATGAATGCTTTGCATAGCAACGTTCAGGCACTTCTCTTCCGCCTTCACTTTGGTGGGCAGGTAGCTGTGGTGTTGCTGACTGCCGCGCCAGAGGAGAATGCGAAGGTTCTGCTCTTTCCAGAGCACGACCGCTCGAGGCGCCCGGAACCACGATGGGCAGTCGGTCTGGGTGAAATATGCGGGCAAAGCTTGTTCCCAGCAGTTCAGATCTCGGTCCATTGTTTCGGCCACTCTGTATTCGACTTTTGTTCCGGCGGTTTTTGCCAGTAGAAACTCATGATACACAGCATCAGCAATTTTGGCTAGCTTTGCTTGGGCGATAATTGCTGAGTAGGTAGTTGGGTAATTGACCGGTGGCGGAACCGGTGCCTTGAGAGGCAGTTCCTAGAAGAAATGAGCAAATAGGAATCAAAAGGATCGAAACTTAGGAAGACAACACACCTTATCGTCGATATTTCGAGGAATCCGGGTATCTATGAAATCTTCTGACATCGCGGGTGGCCTCCCGGTGGTGATGTTAAAACCACTCTCGAAACAGTAGATAGTCCAGAAGAGCTGCCGTCGCCGCTCATGTCCTAAAGTATCTTCTAACCCTGGAGGTTCGCGATGAAGACCTAAACCCAACGCCATTCTGTACGCTAAACCGCTAAAGTTGTAGCCAGTATTGGTCCTATCTCTCTTCTGTAGGTAGTTGCTCATAAGCAAAAAGGCCTGAACTGTCTCGATGGTGCCAGACTCAAGCATCTGAAGAGACAGACTGGACCGCGCTGCGCTGTAGTAGCTCGACTGCAGATGCTCTGACTCGGTGCTAGAGAGCCAGTGGCCGATGGCTAAAACCATTTGATAGACGACACGCCATGGTGAGTTCGTGGGCCGTTGACGACGCCCTGCTTCAACCCTTTCTCTGAAAATCCTCTCGTGAAGAACCGGGTAGGAGGTATTGTAGAGTAGGAAGTAGGCATCGATCAACCGGCCAGCGATGTATGACGATGGCAGATCGAAAGGCTCAGGTACCGCGAATCCGGCTGAACTGGATGATCTACGTTGTCTTTTACGATGCGATGTGTGGTGGTGAGTGGCTGGATGCGCAACGTGGATCACGGAGTCGATCTCCCCAAGTAACTGGGAACCGGAACTGCTCCCTAAGAGTTGACGTTAGGCATCGCTCATCGGTCAACTGTCCTCCGCAGGCCATTCTAGAACATGGCTAGGCTTACCTAAGTAACCAGAGTCGTGGGTTGGTAGCATGGCCATTCCGTCATTCTCGTGGCCTGAAGATTTGAACTCTGGCGACAGCGACCCTTCGTGCCATTCGTAGCTATGAGGTGTGACTTCATCCGAGTTTCCCAGCGGGGAATGTAACGAGCCGCTTCCGTCATCATCTTCATTTCCTACTGACTCCTGCTGGTTCTGCGTCTCTCCGATGGCTGAATTGATGTCAAGCTCCGGGTTCAAGGATCTGATGAGATTCTGGAGCTGCTTGCACCGGAGCTCGGCTGCGTCGAGGTTCTTCCGGGTCAAAGGCGTCCGATCAGGGGGCTTCTCAAAGCTGCACGTCTTGCCTGTTTTGGCGCAGTAAGAACATGGGTCGTTGGCTGCGCTGCCTCTCATGCATCGGCTTTTGCGCTTCTGGCAGTTGACGCAGGCCCGGACGGTGCTTGGATTGGGACATCGGCGGCTAGAGTTCGGCATACTTCGTTCTTCAACGTTCAGTCCCTGTCATGAATAGTTCGACTCATGTGGAACATCGGGGGCCAGAGGGCCGAAATTGAGCTCAAATATGGTTTATCGTCTCTGCAGAAATCTCTCGAGGCTGCGTGGGACATCTCAGGTCTCTTTGGAGAGTCTTAAGATATTATCAAGCTTGCATACGCCTCATCAGACAAGTTGTCAAACTCCGAACTTTTGCTCTACCCCTCAAGACGTTGTCCTCGGAGCACAGTCGCCCGATGTACGCCACTCAAAAGCCACAAATGCGGGATGAATTGCGGGGGAGCTGGGTGGGGAATACGGCTTGCTTCACGGACCATCCCAAGAGAGACGGACATTGCCAAGAGCTTTAATGATGGCCCCGTTTGTATCAGCAGAGTGCTTCCGCCTCCCAATATCATAGTACGCCAATATTGTCCGAGAACTGTAGAAAGTCGGCGAAGATGGCTGCGTAGATCAAATAGTGTCAGGCTTGTTAGACTCGAAGTGCGACCCAAATCTTGCCACCTTCCTTGTCACGATTCTTATACTAGGAACGTGGCATGTTGACCATCAGGAACTGTTGGGGCGGGAACGTGCAGAGTGTTTTAGATATTCTTTTCATTAATATTAATTATTGCTTGATATTTGAAGTCTAGAGCCAAGAGTCTAAGAAAAATTAAGGAAATCACCCCCTATCACTAAAACGCCACGCCATCTTTCTAATGTTGAGATATGAAACCATAACGAAGTTGGTTGCTCGATTCGCTTATGCAGGAATAATGATCAAATCAATGATAGTGCAGTAGCTGAGAGGTGCAGTCGCGGTGGAGAAGGCGTAGATGTGCTGGCCAGAGCCGGTGTTGCCATCGCCAACCTTGCTCGCCTGGCGGATGCAGAACTGGTAGGCCTTGCCATTGGAGTTTATGAAGACCTGGGAGTTGCCGTTGGCGAGTGTGGTGTAGGAGAAGATCTTCATGGCGCTGCTCTTGTTGTTGGACCAGTAGAGCAAGCTGTAAGTGGACGAGGTGTCGATGTAGTAGTAGGCGTTGTGAGTGACAGAGTAGAGGCTGCCGTCTGCGGCCACAATGAAAGTCTCACGGCTGCCCTGCTTGTACCAGTTGTCGGTCATGTGGGTGGCATCGTCGGACAGGGCGTACTGGGAGTTGGGGTTGACGATGGGGTTGAGGCTGAGGTAGCCGATGGTACCAGTAGGAGCGCTGGCGGCGACGTTGATGGTGGTAGTAGAAGTGACAGTCTGGACGACGATGACGGTGCTGGTGGCTGCAGTGGTGGTGCTCAAAGCCGCGCCGCTGGTGATAGTCTGAACAGTGGTAGCGGAGGCGGTCATGGTGCTGGCTACGGGGGTGGCGAGCAGAGAGCAAGCAGAAGAGACGACATCGGCTGGAGATAGCAGTTAGTATCAAGCGGGTTGAGACAGAGGAGAATGAAACTTACCAGAGAATCCGGAAAGACCAGCGGGGGTACCATCGCGGCGAGCCTTTCTAAGAGTGGTGGTGTTGGAAGGAGTGACATCGGGAAGGGCAACAACATCGACGAAGTTTCCGTCATCATCCTTGGTACCGTTGACGAGAGGCTCATCGCGGGCCCAGAGACCACGTCTGACCTTGATGGAGTGGTCGAGGGGAGTGGGATCATCGTGGAGGCAAGTAGTGGTGGGACGGGGAGGCAGGTCACGCTTGAGCTGCTTGGTAACGGCAACCAGCTGGGTGGTGGTGCTGTAAGAAGTGGTCAAGGGAGTGACAGTCGAGACGACCGTGGTGGCAGGGATGGTAGTGAAGTCAGTCTCGGTGGCGGTGGTGACCGGGGTCGTGTAGCCGAGGAGAGAAGAGCAGTAAGGCTGAAGGCTGGAGGTGACAATGGCAGAGCTGGCACTGGCGACGGCGCAGGGGATTCTGGGCTTGCCGGCGTCCGTGGCGTTGGTGTAGGAGAAGCTGTAAGAGATGGTGTAGTGGTCACTGCCGCGCCATTGGCCGTTGTTGGTGGCATAGCTGTTGTCCCAGGACTTGGAGTACAAGGAGCAGTACTGTCCCTCGGGAACTCCATTCTTCAAGACGAAGAAGGTGTTGAAGAACTGGCAAGTCTGAGCGGGGGCGTTCGCGGGAGGGTGGGCAACGTTGTACTCGGACTGAGCGGTACAGGCAGCAGCGCAGAGCTTAGGATCGAAGGGGCCGTCCGTGAAGATCTTGGAACCCAAGAAAGTGTCGTATCCAGCGCAGTCGAGGGGAGCGTTGATGGAGTTATCTCCCAAGTAGACGGCGGAGCTGTAACCGGCCTGGTCATCGGCACGCTGGGCAACGTAGCCGTTGGATCCGGCAATCACAACCTCGAACTGGTTGCGCCATTGGCCGCGGTTGGTCGCGGTGTTCTCGTAGACGGGACCACCCCAGAAGACACACTTGATGACATTGGTGCTAGCCGGGTTGGGGCAGGCATCGGCGGGTTCCTAGATGGGGTCAGAGTCTGGTTGCTTGTGTTGATACGGTTTAAGACTTACAACAGAGGGATCACGCTCGAAGTAGATGTTGAAAGCAACACAGCCGTTGATGGCATCGCACTTGGAAGCGCAAGCCTGAGTGTCGTAGCTAGTGAGGGTAGTGTAACCCATGTAGCCATAGGCGCTGCTAGATCCCTGCAGGTTCTTGAAGGTGTTGAAGTAACCAGAGGGAGTGGCAGCATTGTTGGCAGCCGACGAAAGGTCTGTGTCGCTCAGGAAAGCGGCCGAAGTGTCGGGGTTGGAGGCGGGGCCGTATCCGACGGGCTGAGGCTCGCAAGCGGAGCGCTCAACGAGACGCTTCTTCTCCGACTTGACAGGCGCAGTCTCCTGGGGAAGCGGGCTGGCCTTGACCTCGGCGACGACACTGGCGGCAGCAGCGTTGGCATCGTAAGGAACGACAGTCGGGGAAGCACCAATGGGGACGGTGGTGTGAGGCGGCTCGGGAGCATCGTCAATGACCTGCCAGACAAGGTCTTGGGCCTTGGCGAGCGCGACAAAGGCGCTGATGATAGGAGCAGAGCGCATTTTGATTGATCTATGTCGAACAAGAGAAGTCGATCGAAAGAATGAGCTTTCAAGGATCGTAGCTCAAGGTGTTAAGAGAGTGAAGAGGAGCGAAGAGGCTTGAGTTGACTGATGAGATATTTCGTCGATAATGGCGGATATCTCAGTTCCTTATGTACTCATCCCACGAGGCCTCTGACCTCGTAGTCTAGCCAATGCTTTTTGCTCTTCCGTTCGCCAATATCGCACTTGCGACGACAACAGTGCATAGCTCTCCCCACGGCTCGCTTCATCTTCACGATGCATGCGATAGTGTTGATGCTGAGTGCTCATTTCCACATCACGCGGCCGGCAAGAAGCGGTGGACGACTAGACCCGGAGCTGGACCACGGAGCTGTACCATGGGATTGGGAAAGGCGGCCGTGTCTTGTTCGCTCTAAAGGCCCTTGCTCCCCTGCTAGACAGCATTTCCAGACTGTTGGTAACAGATTCTGGACCCTTAAGGCCGCACAGATGGCTGTATTGGGCTTGAGTCGCTGGTGTTCTTGGGTCAGGTCGATGATAGATCCACGTGGGTTGAGCGTGTAGCCGCCTTGCCCGTTGCTTGATTGAGGAATTCAGCTCGCAACGGGAGTTGTAGCTGAGAGTCCACGGACCCAAAACAGCAGATTTTACCTAGCTCAACCCCTCGTGCCTGGTGGAGATCCCCAGCTTGCGTAGGAGTCTGGACTCGGATATGCAGGGGTTGACAGCAGGGGTAACGGGCGGCTGACGATCAATAGTCCAGCAAAGTGGTGAGAGACCGCTTGTTGACCTATGATGTTGCTTCGGCAGATGAGAAAATTTGAGGGACAGTCCCTGACTACTCTGCATCGTAAGGCGCTAAGCGAGTAGACGCCATGCTTTTGTTATGTTAGTCCTACGGTGTTACCGACGGAACGGACGACGAGGATGCGCTGTGCTCCTATCGCATGTCGCCGATCAATCTATTGAGCAGCTAAGACCAAAATAAGCTTCCTGGGAAACCCAAAAAGATGGGAAAGCGATTATCGATGTGGTCCCACACAAGTGGATGCCGGGGAGAAGTCTGGAACAAAGAAGTGCACAGCATAACATGCCTAGGAAACGTTACGCGATCTTCCCGCTCGGATTTTCCCAGGAGTATTCGGAGGCATCCAAATTTTCCGGTGCTTCTCGACTAGAGTAATATTCGATTGAGCTGATCAGGTGAATTTCAGCTTCGGATATATTACTGTTTGTGCCACAAGCTTCACTGTTATCAGATTCTCGGCCAGGAGTTGGCCTTTAGGAAAGAAAATGCCTCAAAGCATCTCAAGACATGTGTTCATATCGTCAGTTGATAGGGTATTTCCGGTCTTGCTCTTCGATGAACCCTCATCTAAGTACATCGAAGCTTACTACATTTCCGGTCTTACATATAAGGCCATCTGAATTCTAAAACTTTGCTCAAGACTGAACTGTTGCGATGATGAAGCAGAAGCCATGCATCAATATTACCACAGCAGTTGCCACTCAAAACCGCAATCTCTGTGCGAAGAAGCGAAAAAGTAGAAGTGAAGTTATCATGAGGTCCAGAAAGGGCAAGGTTCGCGCCGATCGTGGCGCCGGTCTACACTAGACTGCCGCGAAAGCGAGTACGGAAGAAATTTTGCCGATCTCGACTCTGATTGCACAGATGATGAGTCGATGCCAGGTACTAGCGCGACTAGTGACAGTCCGGCTGAGTACTTGTGCCCAAGTAGGACTGGACCCAAGTGTTCCTGGCTTCATGGGCTTGAGGGCGTCGCCATCTTCGGGAGGCCGCGCGGTCGCTTCCGTCACATCCGCTTTCACAAAAGCCATGTTGAAGTCGCCTACTTCCGCCTCCTGAACGGTTTCGCGGCTTTTCTCGCTAAAGTTTGAACGACTCTGATCTCGCTTCATACACAACTACCTACGAAGGACAGCAGACAGCATGCCACTATTGCTCGCATGTATGTAAGAACGTGAACGACTTCGAGGGAAAGCACCGGAACGAGCCGACTTACCTCCCTTACCTTTGCTTCATGATTTTGTACGAAATTTTGCTGTTCACTTTCAGCGCACGAGCCCAGATAGAACGCCGAGCTCGGCACCCACTCCCGCCCTTCGCCGTTTCGACTTGGCAGCCTAGAATCTCGTGGCTTGAACTGTCAAGCCACAACGCCTGATGAATAACGCAATGAGGAATAGACGCAGTTCCATCGGCAGGGGCGACAATATTGTGGCTTGCTGTCAGAGTGCTAAGCCAGAGAGGCTATGAAGCACGACGGACAAAAGCCTCCAGTCTGTTGAATGCCGCGCGTATCGATCGGCATCTCGATGATGAAGGATTAATCCAAAAAAGGTGAGGTTTTCACAAATAACATAACGCTCGAAAAGGGCCAGTGCGCGCAGCATTGCATTTTGTGACTTCCTAAGTTGCATGCCTGGTGTCCAAAGTCGCCATGTTGCGGTGTGGCTTGGATCACAGACAGAATCAGATAATGAGGCATTAAGGGGTTGACGATAGTTACCATAGAACAAATTGGTTTTATCGCCTAGGAAATATGTGTTTTAGGGGAGTCCCTCATTAACTTCCCAATGGAAAACTTCTTTCTTGCAAACCCATGAGGTGTAATGGGCCATAACTTAGCCTCTTCAACCTACCATCATCTAGCGAATCAAGCAATATTCGATTTTGGAGAAACGTGAATAAAATATCGTAACACTACGAGATTATTTTCTGGATATGGTCCTCCGCATCTTATGTATGTTCCTAGACGTGAAGAGAAAAGTGTGCCGCCTTCTCCTCCTGCAAAGACTTCTTTAACTCACCCAACATGTGTATGGTCAAAAGATCTGTGGCCATGATGTTGAATCAGCGGCAGAATTGGTGTCACCTTCAATTTTCGGTCATTACGGTAGATCGAACATTACCTACCTAAGCTGTGCACACGGTGCATCCGGGACCAACGGCATTGGAAGGGAGCTTGATGACACCAGACTTCCTGCCTACGATATTCTCATCTTTGACTACTAGACCCTTCTACCAGAGCAGCTGGAAGTAATCCTAATGAATCTTCATCGGGAATATGTTGTCTTGAAGTATTACCAACACGATGGGAATTAGTCACACTAAAAATGAGCCTGGAGCTGATTGACAAGCATTTTGCTCGAGTTTCACGTCAAATCGAACGTGTTCGTAACCTAATTTATACGGGAGACAAACCGAGGCTGCGGTAACCACCACTTTCATTGTGAAGTCCGAAGACGGAGCCGTGACATAAGTACCTTATGACATTAAGACCCGGGTGTTGAACTCAAAGCGGGGTGAAAGCTGATCTTTCTCGGATGTTGATGGAAGGATTGGGTCTAATGTTAATGAAGAAAGCATGTCGGGTAGAACAACGCCGACGAACTACAAGTTGGAGTCATCTGATGAAAGCATCCTCGTCGCCTCCACCTTCGGAGCACAGCGCGCCGACAACAAGATTCAGGCTTGCGGCACCGTGGTAGCATCCACTTTCCCCAGTTTCCCCGGTCATTGCAAGAACCCCAGCGAGTCTGACGTGGGTCGTCTGGGGGGCAATTCTCCGATGATGCGTTACGTCTTCTTCATGTATAATCATGCTCTTTGCTCCTGGAGCTGCAAGTCCTGACCTCTTGTTTCTTGGACTATCAGGCTCCTACTTCTACCCTATTAATAAGATACTATAGTCGACATGGAGATCTCGTATGGCGCAGCTGGTAATACAAACCCAAAGTATTGGCCTGAATGACGAGCATCACTAAACATCATTACTAGGCTACAAAGGTCTCGTTCACGAGCCATACATCTTCTTTCTCGCATGTTTTGCAAGCATTGGTGGTGTGTTATTTGGGTAAGTTTTCACGCGGACTCCTGGCCTCTTTGATGAAAAATCAAATTGAAGTGCAAGACTGATTGAGGCTTCTCCAGTTACGACCAAGGCGTAATCAGTGGCGTTCTGGTGATGAACAATTTTGTCAGTCTGCGTTCAACTCTTTTGCCGCCCGTGGGTCTCAACAACCTAACGCTTATCCCTACAGGCTAAACAATTTCCAACCCTCTCCGAAGATGCGACTCTCCAAGGGTGGATGGTGGCAGTACTCACACTGGGAGCAATGGTTGGCGCATTGGTCAATGGCCCAATTGCTGACGCCCTATCTCGTCGCTGGACTATTCTCCTAGCCAACATCATCTTCCTCATCGGCTCGATCATCCAAGCTGCGTTGATCAACGTTCCCATGATATTTATCGGCCGCTTCATTGCCGGGTTGTCGATCGGCCAGTTGTCCATGGTTGTTCCCCTATACCTGAGTGAGCTCGCGCCGCCAAACCTTCGAGGAAGTCTGGTCGCGCTTCAGCAGCTTGGCATTACAGTGGGAATCATGATTGCTTTTTGGCTAGATTACGGGACCCAGCATATCGGAGGTACAGGTGACGGCCAGTCTCCTGCAGCTTGGAGACTCCCGCTCGCTCTCCAATGTGTGCCCTCAATAATACTTGGAGCTGGGACCTTCTTTTTACCATACACCCCGCGTTGGCTTTTGATGAAAGGTATGAATGATCGGAACCTTGGGCGATTAGCCGTAAACTTACGTTAAACTACTAGATCGCGAGGAGGATGCGCTTGCCACCCTTGTCCGCATCCGGCGTGTCCCCCCAACAGATGCTCGGCTTAAGCTCGAGTTGACAGAGATCAAGGTCGCAGCCCGATTTGACATCGAGACAACCGCCGAGTTGTTTCCTGGCGTCACTTCACGCCTGAAACTCACGTTGGAGAGATACAAGTCGCTATTCGTTGTTCGCCATCTCAATCGTCGCTTGGTGATTGCCTGCCTCCTTCAACTCATACAACAATTTACCGGTATGTCCTATATCTGAGTTGATTGTACTACTTGGTTGTATCCCAAGTCTAGTGGTAATCTCGGCGTCTTCTTAATGTATGACTAACAACAAGGCGAGGCATCAACGCTATCATCTATTATTCGCCGACAATCTTCCGGAACATAGGACTCTCAGACAACTCCGTAGATCTACTAGCAACTGGTGTCGTTGGGGTCATTAACTTCTTCTCCACCATCCCCGCCATCATGTTCATGGACAGATGGGGGCGGAAGAAAGTCCTCCTCATCGGCGGAGTTGGCATGGGGGTTTCCCAACTCATTGTTGGAACTCTTTATGCTGTCTACAAAGACAGCTGGGCAAGCAATAAGTCAGCTGGGTGGGCTGCTGCGTTCTTTATATGGGCCTACATCGCCAATTTTGCTTTCAGCATCGGATGCGTCAACTGGATTGTGCCTTCGGAGATCTTCCCGCCTGGAGTCCGATCCCAAGCGGTTGGTCTTGCGATTGGAACCAATTGGCTGAGCAACGTAAGTCAACACGAAATGCTGA